GCATTGATGAAGTTGTGTGATGACCCGTTGTCTACGAGTACGATCACTCGACGGTCCTTGACCCAAGCTGGTAGCCGCATAGTCCTTGGCCCTCTGATCCCATCCATCACATGCATCGAGATCTCAGCTTCCTCCTCGAGCACTTCAACCTCATCCTCTTGCTCGGGTTCTTTCTCGACCTCAGTCTCTTCCTCATCAGAGTTGGAAACCTCTATGACAAAAGCCTGCTTGCATCGATGACCTGGCATGAATTTTTCTTCGCACTTGAAACACAGACCTTTCTCGTGTAGGCGTTTGATCTCCTTCGGTGTAAGTTGCTTGACTACTGGCCCCAGTGGTCGAGCACTGATGGTCGGTCGTGCGCCCGCGGTCGCTTGGCTTGGGTTAGTGCGGCGTGTGTCGATGAAGCGGGCGTCCGCCCGTCCCCTTCGCGTGGCCGCTAGGTGATCCTCGCGTCGTCGAGCGACTCCCATAGCAGCGTGCATGGTCTCGGGCCGCTCCAGACGTACCTCCGCTGCAAGATCATACTTCAGACTGCCTATGAATGCTTCTACTAATGCAGTTTCGGGCCAACCCCGTACTCAACAAGTTAAACGCTCAAATTCCTTCAAATAATCATGTAAATTACCTGTCTGCCTTATACGAGTCAGTGTGTAACGCCTCAAAGATTTTTAAAGACAATTCCGGACTTATCCAAAAATCTTGTTTTAAAATTTCGAAACCATTTATCGATTTATAGAACATTTGGCGCTACTCGAGTACTTTTCAAAGTTAAACATATAATCCGGATAAAGGAAACGAGAATATTCAGAATAATTCAAGTTCCAGGACTAGATTTCAACATATCTAGCAATAGGATTTTCAACATAATCCAAACTGATAATATTAATCCACATGGTTCAAACACTTCAACCAATCCCCAAAAGCGATAGGGAACATAACAATGTCTGATAATCATAAATATCAAAGCATGCGGAAGCAATAAAAATCATTAATAATGTTTGACCACCCACTCGTCTTTAGTCTCGTCATGCCCAACACGTGCTTAACCTGCATCAATGAAGAGCAGGTGGGGATGAGCATAAATATAAACGAGGTGCTCACCACTATGCATAATATATTGGTAAGAATCCTATACTAGAGTCATATGCAAGTACATGGTAAAAAGACATAACACACCACTCTCCTACTCATCCCTATACTCATGTGCACACCTATCAAACGCTGCCAGGGGTAAGCCCAAACTCGTCAGCGGGAGTACAGTCGTGCTGAGGTTCAACATCAACGGTCACGGCCCATCGACTAGGCTAAAATGAGTCTACCTATCACAAGGTTGGAGATTGCCCACCACTAGGCACCGTCCCATGACTCACACATACATTCACAGACATTCAGTATAAAAATATTACCTCAATTATAACATAGCAAATTGTAGATTAAAACCCACCTGGTAAATCGGTAGAAAACACACAAACAGGTCGGTAGGTCGAGGGCTCGACTCCTCAAACACCTACATTAAGTCGAGATGCTATAATCAACATTCATTTGACTTAAATGTAAAACACAATCATACTTAGTCGAAATTGATTCGACTAAGTTATTCGTGAGGTCCTGTGTGTTGGTGTTATATACTTAAGCTTTGCTTTAGTGGATATTACACTTGTTATTTC